AAATATATATATATATATAATAGAGATATCTAAAATAGATCATAAAGAGATCCCGAACTAATCCTGTTCCCTAGAGGTAATGATAACAGATTGAATGAGGCAGTTTTTGTTTTCCTTGTGGGTATATGAATATATAAACAGAAAAGTGTGCCAACTTTTCTTTTATTTTTGTTAAAAGGTTAATTTATTTTAAATTGTATATTGATCCCCAGAAGCCCTGGTGGTTACGAGTTGGCAGTTTAAAGCCACCAGCTACTCCACAGGAGAAAGACGGACTTTCTGTTCCCGTACACTGCTCCCGTCTCGGACACTCTCAGGGGCAGTTGGGCCTTGTCCTATACAGGGTCGCTATGAGTCAGCATCGATCGATTAGATGCAAGTGAGGGTTGGGTTTTTTTTTGGTTTTGGGGGTGGGAGGTGATTTTACTTAATAAATACCTGTACCTATGTGTACGTGATAGCAATTATGTCTCAAGATGGTTGGATCATAGAAGGTATTCAAAACCACATAAAATGTTATGGGGAAGATTAGAGAGACCTAATGATTTTGCCATAAAGGGCAAAGGTGATGGCTTCATATGATCCCTAAATGTTAAGTAGGCTCTTGTGAGGCAAGGGCGAAGGCAATGACTGTGTTTTCTGGGAGGAGAGGCAGCGGGGAATAGCTCCTCTGGGCCCAGGAAAGCACTCCTTCCCAGGCCCAGTGCAGTCCCACGCTCCCTGGGAGGAAAGCTCCCTTCTCTGGCCTTCCTGCAAGCATGGTAACAGAAAGTCAGGAAGGGGCATCTCCTCATGTGCTACAGACATGCTCTGGCTTTGAGATGTTTGGGCTCGTCAGTAAGTCTCTCTGAGACTCCCACACCAGCAGATTGTCCCAGGTGTTTCAGCAGCTCTGCTCACCCATTTATCCCCACTATGCAAATAAACTGTAGTAGGATTTTAATTACCCAAAAAAGAGTAACTTTCTCGCCATCACCCGCTCCCCTCACCCCCCACCCAATAAGCATGCGGGACTTACCCAGGGCCTTAGATAGAATCTAGCTTAATACAATTTGGATGGCAGCACATCAGATTTAAATCTCTAAAACAAATATTGGGAGTTCCCACTTTCTTTATTTCAGACAAAGCAAATGTGAAATTCCGCAGTTTAGTTGCAAACCATCCATGTTCTTTATACATCCACTATTCTGCTGAAAATGCTGATAATGTTCTTCCAGACTATACAACCCGATCAGCAATCTTCACACATAAAACATTATTTCTCCTGCCTGGGCTGGCTATGTTAGCAATGTCAGTGTCCTTTTCACACCGGGAGAATGGTGAGCATACTGTGAGGTTTGTGTGGTACTCTTCCCTGAATAAGACCTGGTGGTCATCACGGCTCATGTTCAGAGAAAGGTGTCCTACAGAGCAAAGTAATCACTGGGGCAGCGTTTCTTCACATACATCCAGCCTTCTCTCAACTAGCTTACCCCATCAAGAAAGCAAAGCAATTCCTGAGAGGTCCCTGCATTCACCAGTGCTCGGGCAAGTGAGAAAGAGGCACCTGGAGGAACTTGGTTTCACGTACCTAGGCGGGATGTGAAATTCCTGAAAAGCATTAAGTGCTCTCTCTGGGCATCCATTCCTTTTTGCTCTTCTGCCTGACTTCTTAGTCTTCATTAATCTACATTAATGTCAGTAACAACCAGGCAGAACTCCCTTATTGGAAACATTGAGGGTGTTACTTCCATCCTCTACTGTATCTATCCATTCAATTTATCTATTTTATCTATTTTTGCTATTCAACAGCCTTAAACACTTCAGTATCATGTGATTGTTTCTAGGGTGTTTAGAAGTGAACTTGTTGCATCAAATGCCATGTGTATTGTTAACTTCACTAAATACTCCAAACTGCCTTCTTTTAAGTCCAGGGCTTGCAATTCTCCAGCAGTTCTCCCGAAGTCCTCCTCCACGGACTTGACTCAGAGAGCACCTCACTCAGGGTAGGCCCTCAGGCAATCTTACAGCTGCCTGGCCAAGTCCCTTCATTCAGTGTTTTCCAGAGTGTGGTATTCAGACAGAAGATGGGACAAGAGATGGATTTATGTGGATCACAGATAGATTTCTTCTGCGTATAAAAACACGTGGTAGATAGTGAACAACAAGTTTATCTGACCCCAAAATTTGCAGATATTATTGGTAAGGATAAGTATAAAACCGTGAATCATTTTAAAGGCAACGAAGAGAAACGGAACTTTACAGTTACTACGATTCACTGCCATCTACTCGATGCCGACTCATAGCGACCCGACAGGACAGGGTAGAACTGTCCTTGTGGGTTTCCATGGCTGTAACTCTTTAGGAGAGTAGAAAGCCTCATCTTCTCTGGTGGAGCAGCTGGTGGTTTCAAACCGCAGACCTTGTGGTTAGCAGCCCTGTTCTTCAGTCTGGTGATGC